GGTTTAGGGTTTAGGTTTTTGTAAAGTCATCGTGTGACAGCTCCGAAGGTGTCACCTCGAGGGAGAACCGAGACACGACATGTCGGATCCCAAGCAAAGGACATCAACCCTAAACCGCCTAAACCCTAAACCCTAAAGGACATCCTGAAAAAAGGACTCAGCCTCGTAGTCTTGACAGGATCCAACTTTTCCTGGGGAAAGTTGAAAGTTGCAGTGCCACTGGAGAAAACAGCGAGGCCTAGGATTCAAAGCTAAGAAGGCGGGCCAAAGACGACAAGGAACTTCAGAACATGTGGAGTTAGTTAGGGTCTGGACTTCGGGATCTGAAGGCTCTTAGGGCTAGGGGGTTTAGAGGTTCGGGTTAAGAGTTTAGGCTTTGGGGTTTAGGGTTGAGGGCCCTAAACCCTAAACCCTTAGGGTTTTAGGGCACTTCTTCAAGCAAGGTGCACGTCGTCCCAGCACTCGACATTGCCCTCGGGGCCGTGCTCAGGGGCGCAGCATGTCTCAAAGGTGAAGCCAATGGACCAGCAGCTGCCCTCATCCTTAGGGTTTAGGGTTTAGGGTTTAGGGTCTGATAAGGAATTTTAATTAAGTTGCCTTAGCAGGAACCCACGGCAAAAAATATTATGGTAAGTAAACTCCTTGACAAGAACCCAGTTTTCGTATTTAAGGTTCAGGGGTATAGGGGCTCAGGGGTGCTGGGTTCAAGGGTTCAGGATGTACTTCGGGTTAGGGCCTAGAAATACTCTGAAGTTGAGCCGGGATGAAATCATTACCGCCCTCTGCCCTCCCTGACAAACCTGCATCGCTCCTTCAGACTCAAACAGAAACCCTAAACCCCTTACCCTTCTGCTTCCGGACTCCACCTCAAGGCTCAGATCTTCCGAAGACCAAGGCTGTACCCACCAATAAAAACATCACATGCCTTTCTTGTAATCCTGGGCTTACATTTGCTTGATAGTATCATGTGGTTTGAAGGCTCAAACATTGCAGTATCGGACTTGGTACTTCAACAATTCAACACTCCCGAAACAGGATTTCGTGTCTTTGGGCTTCAAAACCCACTGCTGCCCAGCATCGCTGCCCTGTGCCGTCGCACCCAAAAGCGCAGAGAACACCAGCCACAGACAGGAACTACCACACAGCATCAGAGGCAAGACTCTGTGACTAAGGGTCTGAAACTGTTTTGGGGTGCTATTAGGGTTTAAAGACATATGAAAAGGAGGACTAGGGTTAAGGGTTAAGGGTTTAGAGTTCGGGCTCTAGGTTTAAGGGTTTAGGGCTTGGGTGGTTTCAGGTTTGTGTAGAAACGACATGCAGTCTATGCGTGGGCGGTCATGAGGGCGTCTTGTCAAAGGTTCAGGGCTTGTGGAGTTTAGACAGAGTTAAGGGTTTAGGGTTTAGGGTGTCAGAACTTCAAGGTAGGAACCCGGAACAAAAGGTGGTGGGATGCGAGGTTTAGCATCAGAAGGAGTCCAGCTTCCGAGCTTCTGGCGATTTTGGGGCTTTGCGGTTCGGACCGAGTGTTGTATCCATGGATGCTTCAACTGACCACCACGCTGAGAAGACGCTTGGGCCACAAGATTCCAGGTCTTGGGTTTGGGGATTGATTCAGAAACCTCGGAGCCTGACTTACGATCTTGATGAGGAGCCTTTGCTTGAAACGATGCCCAAAACCCTAGACCCTGAACCAGCACACGCTGCTTTGTCAAAGCACTCAGGCACTGAGGGATTCTTTGACTCGGCACCTCAAACCTTTAACGCAGAACCCGGCAACCGCTTTTCAGAACTAACTAACCCCGAATGCTACCCAAAGCATAAACACGTAGAAACCCTTTAAACTCTAAACCCAAAACCCTATAAACCCTAAACCCTAAACCCCTAAAACCTAAACCCCAAGCCCGAAACCCTAAAACCTAAACCCTAAACCCTAAACCCTAAAGCCGCATCCTGGGAGCTGCATTCCGGGGGCCCCGGCGGACACATACAGCGCCTTGCGAAGACCTGCCGCACCTGACTCACGGGTTTGCAGAGCCCCAACGTACGTAGAGGATTTCTGAAGAGCCTTGGTGGTTCTTCTGGCAGAATTTGAGTGCTTCGGGATTGTGATCTAGTTTTGGGGTTTAGCGCAGAGGGGAGGGGGGGGCGGGTCTTATTAACGATCTGAAAGCAGCCATCATTCCAGGTACTTGCCTTGGCCCTGCAGTAGCAACTTACAGGAGTAGCCCTCCAAACCCAGACTCTTTAGGGCTTAAGGTTGATGTTTAGGGTTTAAGGTTTAGGGTTTAGGGTTTATGTTTAGGGTTTAGGGTTTAGGGTTTATAGGGTTTAGGGCTTAAGGCTACCACCTAGAAAGAACCCGCGGTCGAGCTTCTGTCAGCTCCGCGTTTGGGATACAGTAAATGACTATGCCGGGTTTATGGCTTAGGGTTTAGGCTTAGGAGTAAACCTGATTAGACCAGGTCTATGAAAACTACACTCTACCGCCAGAGCAGACCGCCCCAGCGAGATCCTTAGCAGTCTTTCCCAGTGAAAGCCCAACAACATGAGCAACTGCGACCTACCCAAAATGACTTACCAACCTTTAGGATTGTACCTGAGGCAGCGAGAATCGCACAAGCATACACATAACCCTAAATCCTGAGCCCTGAGTCAGATCCCAAAATCACCCCTGTAGCACTTGCACATGAACAGCGTTCCCAGCGTCGACCCTAAACCCGAAACCCTAAACCACAAACCCTAGCCTAGACCAAGGCCCTAAGAGCCTGAAGCCCCAAACCCAGCTAAAGGAGTTCAGGGTGGTGGGTGTAGCACCGCCCCACTCAGAGCCAGAAGCCCACTACTACTGTTATGACTATCTGACGATTACCCAGGTTGTTACCATTATGACCGTTATGACTATTATGACGAGCTTGATTAGAAAAGCCCGGAATCCGACCCCATGCCGCCTCGCGCAGCGAGGACTTGCGAGAGGAGACGACGCGTCTGAACCACCCTGGGTGTGGGATGTCAGGTTGCTGCTTCTGTGTTGTTATTGTTTCTGTTGTCTCAGTCCGTTCTAGTTTGTCTTTCAGGAGTTTCGGGTTTGGGGCTTTAGATCTCGAGAACCCTAAACCCTAAACCCTAAACCCCAAGGGTGGGGTTGAAATTCAAGGCTTGGGGCTTCCCACGTGAATTCGGAGTTGTCAGTACCGGGTCCATGCGTTTCAAGCAGGATCCGAAAACCTGAAGGGTTTAGGGTTTAGGGTTTAGGGTTTAGGGTGTCCAAATCTCCAGGGCAACTGAACTCTCAAATCCTGAGAGCCTGAATGCAGACGTAGAAACGCAGAAACTCCAAACCCAGAACCTGGGATGCAAAGCAACACTGCCGAGCCCTTCTGGGGATAAACGTTTGCTGCCTGCTCAAGCTTTAGGGTCTTGGGTTTAGTTTAGGGTGTTGCGTGAAGAACTGCAGAGCCCTCGACGCCGTGGGATCTGCTTCTTGCGGATCGAAGTCAAGCACCTCGATGTGGGCGTGTTTCGGGTGCAATATAGGGGTCCATAATTAGGATTTTTGTAGGTCTTATAGGGTTGCAATATCGGGCCTAAATAACTAAAAGCTTAGCCAAGTCCTAAATCCTAAAACATTTAGAAGCCCCGAAACAAACAAATCCTGGGGTGGTCGGTTCAGCATGGGGGTTCGGGCTCATCATGTACCCGGAAGGAATGTTGGTTCTCTCACTGGGGATGTCGACGCAAAAAGCCTCAGGAGCTAAATGCCGCTCAGAGTTCACGACTTGTAGAATCCCGGTCTAGGTTTGAAGGGCTTAGACCTGCAGCGCTTCCCAAGCCTCTGACCCGGACCCTGGACCGTGATTCAAAATTTATTCTAACCCAGATCCCGGGGAGGATCTAGAAAGTAGAACCCCTAATTTGGGACCCTATACTACTAAAGGGTCTTTATGGGAACCCCCCTTGAGGGATCTACTTTTTGGATCCTCCCAGGGGTCTGGGAACCAGCCCCGAACGCGCTGCCCTGCGGACATTTCCTGGGCATCCGGGCTGCTTTGGAGGCGCTTGGGTTCCTGAGATCCAACAGCCGTCAGAGTTTAGGGTTTAGGGTTTAGGGTTTAGGGTTTAGGGTTTTCAGCCATCAGGATTGGAAGGTGTTAAAAATCTTGGCGTCTTAAACTCATTGGTGGGTGGCTACAGAACGAAAACACGGTTTGGGGTGCAGAGTACTTCAACTTTCGAGGCTTCTGCTGTAGTGCTTTCAACATGAGGCCGAGCAACTGGCTGAAAGACTTAGGGTTTAGGGTTCAGGGCTGCTGGCATTCTGGATGCCCGTCTTCTGACAGTCTGACAACAGGGGCGACTGCAACAACAGAGCCAACACCAGACCAAGGAAGCTACAAAGGTTTGTGGACATTACCTGGAAAACTCCTCCTATACTCTATTCAAGGCGCAACCCTAGACCCATCCAAACCATCAACCTACTTGAACTCTCAACCCAAAGCCCTGCACCCTACGACCATCTAAAGCCCCGCTAACACCTACACCCCCAAACCCGAAAGTCTACACCTACCTCAAAACCCCAATCCTTAAACCCATCTAAACCCGAACTCTGTAAACCCTTTTATATAAGTGTAAGTGCAGCTTGGCATCGATGGCGCCATGGCCGGAGTCCGTGGAGCCCGAACTCCACGGAAGTCCGGGCGCCCGAACTCCAGGCTGCACGTACTCAAGGCCCCCCAAAACCCCCCGAAACCAGCGAGAAATGACGAGAAGAATGAGGGTCATGGAGCGAATGGTGAGAATTAGAGTACCAGTGGTGAGAGTGGTGACAAACATTGATCGTACACTTCCGATAGTTCTGACATACACGGCGGTTGGAGCCGTGTTGTCGGCTGCCACCAGGAGTACTGCAACTCTTGATCTCGATTCCTGAGACTCACCGAGGATGTGGAGGAAAGAGGCGAGGGAAGGCGACTGCTACCACATCAAGCGAGGTGCTTTGAGCCATCGGTGGGAGCAACCTCAAGGTTTGGGGTTTTAAAAAGTGGTTTCGGGTTTGGGGATTAGGGTTTATAGGGTTTAGAGTTTAGGGTTTAGGGTTCAAGGTTTAGGGCCCTAAACGCTCTTCTGCAGAGAACGTGATTTTCTTCATGATACAAAAGGGGTCGATGTATACAGCTTGCTGCAAACGACTCAAGCAGAGGTATACCTATTATATCTCTAATATAGGGCGCCAAAAAACCACATAAGCAAAAATTAGGATCCGGATATCCCATATACATCCCCTTATAATGAAGCCCAATAAGATAGGGATATCCCTATGAAAAGCTTATGCTTATGCGCTTTTTGGGTCCCTGATAATAAGCGTGCTGGAAGCTGCATTACTGCGAATTCGCTGAACACGGCACAAGACCGTTTGGGTTTAGGGTTTAGGGTTTAGGGTTTAGGGTTTAGGGGTTTAGGGGTTTAGGGTTTAGGGTTTAGGGACAAGCACCGGCATCTTGGGCAGCTGAGGATCTACAAACTTTAGCCCGTAAGTCCTGGCATCGAGCTTGAGAAGCAGGGCTCAAGCGATTTGGGGCTTCGCTTTAATTTAGGATATGCCAACTTTCTTGCGATGACCGCTCGATCTGAAGCTGATTGAACTGCACCCCCAGAGGCCTAAACCCTCAACCCGGAAGCACCCTAAACCTTGCAAACCCTGAACCCTAATTACACCTAAGCCGCGAACCCTCAACCCTAAACCCTCAACCCTGAACCCTGAACCATCAACCCTCAACCCTAAACCCTAAACCCCTAAACCCTGAAACCCCTTTTCTTGCGATATGTTGCGAAAATCTCTCGACAGCTCGCAATCTGAGGGGCTTCTTTGGCCCGCTCAGCCCGCCGCGCTTCGCCGGCAGGCCTGGGAATCAGAAGCGTTGGGTTTTTGCTGTTTAGGGAGTTTAGGGTTTAGGGTTTAAGGAGTTTAGGGTTGAGGGCTTAGGGAGTTTAGGGTTTAGGGCTTAGGGTGTAGTTAGGGTTTAGGGTTTAGGGTGTAGTTAGGGTTTAGGGTTTAGGGGGTTTAGGTTTAGGGACTTTATAGGATCTCCTAAGGCTTTACAAGAAGGGTCTTTCGGGTTCCTGGAAGCATTATATTAGGTTTCAGAGGGCCTTGTGAGGTTGCAGTGGTAGAGGTTTTTTGGTGTTCTGTACTGCGATAAAGTAGGAGAAACATGGAGTGGGGGGTCACTCCCGGAACCTTTTGACTCCAAACCCTTGAGCCCGATATGTCCTCGAATGTACGGTCAAGGATCTATGCTCGACGAGGCTAGGGCCTATAAGCTCCCACCGGTGATACCTGCCTGCCAAGCTTCGATCATCAATTCCGGGAGACGCAAAATGCCCCCTAGAAGGTGAGCAACAACCTGAACTTTGGAGATCACAATAAAAGACACCATAACAGAAAAAATCAATGAACTCAAGAAGTTCTACTTTCTAGATCCTTCCCGGGGTCTGGGACTGTCATGGCCTAGAGCCATACGGTTGATGATACAAATCCTAAGGGTTCTATAAGGGCTACTATAAGGAGGGTGTTGGGGTATTTTACTATAACTCGGTTAAGGAACCCCCAAAATACGGTTGATGATATCAACCCTGCATTACCCATAACTACTTAAAGGCTCATGGGACTTAGTTTAGGGTTTAGGGTTTAGGGTTGAGGTAGGGTTGGTGATATCATTCCTGCATTACCCATAACAAGGAATATACCATAATTCCCATACTTTAGGCGCTTAGGGTTCAGAGCTAAGCCCTAAACCCTAAACCCTAAGAGCTTAGGGTTTTAGGGCTTCAGACGGTCAGGTTAACAAGGGCTTGGGTCGATCTGCCCCAGGTCTTCCAGTTCGGGGCGCCCGAGGTGGGAGGTTGATCCTCTTTCTCCTATTCTTTTTCTTTTTCAAAAGTTGTACATAATTATAAAAAGGCTCAGTTGCCCACAGACTGGGTTTCGAGCTTAGGGTTTGCGGCTTAGGGCTTATACCCCTAAACCTCAACCCTAAACTACAGGGTCCTGGCTTTCAGCTCCTAAGAGCATATATATATATATGTATATACATATACATATACATATACATATACATATACATATACATATACATATACATATACATATATGTATATATGAGAATACAGAAATATATGTATATGTATACATATATATATATATGTATACATATACATAGTTATATAATTATATATTCATTCTCGGGGCCTCTTGTGCAGTCTGCTGCACCAACCGCGAGATGGCGGCCGTCGAGGGATAGTCGAAAATTAGGGTGACCTGTGGGTGGTGCAGGGATTGCTAAGTAACTGTAGGCTTAGGGAGTAACCCAGAGGCTCCACATATAGTACCATTATGGAATTAAGTCCCAAAAGACCATGCTTATTAAGGTTTTCGGGACCTAATTCCATAATGGTACTATATATGGAGCCTCTGGGTAACTGCAGGCTTCGGGAGAGGCTTTTGTACCATGCTTCAGCGGCCAAAAGAACTGTCAAATATTGGTGATTTGGGTAGTTGTCTTAATTGGGTCCCATGTAGGGTCCTTGTAGAAGGGTGCCGTTCCATTTTGGTGACCTGAAAAGGGAACCTAATGTGGAGAACTGCCCACTTTCAAGTCTTGTTACCGGGGTGGTTTGGGCTTAGGGCTGCTCTGAATGGGTTCATGTTTCGGGGCGGAGTTTCAGTGGCTTTGCCAAAACCCTAAACCCTAAACCCTAAACCCCTAAACCCTAAACCCTAATATTTACGGGGTCGCCTTGTAAGGCTCCTAGAGTGTCTTCAGAGAGTAGGGGAAGCGCGAAGTCAATGGGGCTTGGCTAGAAGAGTTTGATTACCCATAGGCCCCTTAGTAGTTCCTTTTTGGGGTTCATATTTAGAATCGTATAAGGTAATCCCAAAAAGGAACTACTATGGGGCCTATGGGTAAGGCTTAGACGTTCAGATGTTTCGCTCTACGACCGCACAGCGGGCAGGGCGGGGTTTTGCGGCTTCAGGGGCCTCGCTTTCGCTTTGCACTTGGGGAAGACGGCGACGAGATAGCTGGGATTTGTCGACTTTGCCGTACGTCTGAGGCACCGCAGTTCTGTCCCCCAGGCTGGTTTCTCTTGCGAAAGGCAACTTGAAACCGATGACTTTCGTAAAAACTCTCGACTTTTGACCCCAAGACCAGGCCCAAAGCCGCAAGACTACGCACAAAAGTGAAGCCGCAACCCATGAACCCTACGCCTTGAATCCTGAGGCCCCCAAACTCCACCTATTATAGTCTCGATTGTAGTTCCTTTTTGGGGGTTACCTTTCTTATAGGACCCTACACATCAAACTGGTTCAACCCCCAAAAAAAGAACTACAATGGAGACTATACCCTAAACCCTAAACGCTTAAACTTTAAAACCTAAACCCTAAAACCCTTCAACCCTACACCTCAAAAACCCCAAACCCCGTACCAAGACGTAAGCCCAAGAAGTTGGGCGCGTAACGCCCGCTGAGCCGAGGCGCAGGAAGAGGGGGATTCAGTCCCGGTAGCATTGTGGTGAGCTGGTCCTTTTTAGGGTGGAGGGTTTAGGGTTTAGGTGAGCTGGTTCCTTTTAGGTTTTAGGGTTTAGGTGAGCTGGTCCTTTTTAGGGTGGAGGGTTTAGGGTTTAGGGGAGCTGGTCATGTTGGGTTGAGGCTTAAAGGTTTGGGGTTTCAGGGTATTTAAGGTTTAGGGTGTTCAGGGCTCAGAGTTTATGTGTATTTTATTATGATTGGGGTATTTAGGATGTAGGGTTTTAGGGTATTTTGGGGTATCAAGGGTTTAGGGTCCTGCTTGCAAGCACGTGGGTCCTCTGAAGTCGGGTTACGGGGAAGAGAATCAAGACACAATGAGCTACGAACGCCAGTTTTGAAGGATAAGTCGGGGTAAAGGCTACCAGCTATAGGAACGATAACTATAGGTAGCACGAAGCCGCCCCAATCAAGGTACTTATCGAGGTATTTGGAACGCCTAAACCCCCAAACTGTCTTGAAGCTGTAGGGATTCGGGCGCTGCGGTTTCGAGCCCGGGCGAACTCCAAAGAAAGTCGTGGAATGGGACCCTGTTCTCAGGGTTTAAGGGTTGAGGCTTTAAGGGTTTGGGGCTTGAGGGTTCTAGGGGTTAGGATTCACGATTTAAGCTTAGCTTCAGGATAATTTGGGGGGCTTGGGGTAGTGTTGTGCTTAGCGTTGGACTTTGAAGCCTAAGACGCAGCTGCTCCACCAGCGACTAGAATCTACCAGAAATGAAGCATATGTTCCATAGCGGCCCAGTCGGGAGATGTTGGGATGTTGCTGCTGTCGGTCCTTTTCTCCTCGGGAGCTTGAAGACAGATCGATACAGAGTGGGAAAGGATGATTTTTGCAAACAAAAAAACATAAAGAGAGAGAGAGAGAGGGAGAGAGGGAGAGTGGGAGAGAGGGAGAGAGGGAGAGAGAGAGAGAGAGTGGGAGAATAAAAACAAAACCAAACCTCATCCATAGACAGACAGATACAACAGTCAGCTTTGCAAGCATGACATAGAAGACTCAGCTTGGGTCATTGAAGCCTCACATGTGTTCTTCCGTCATGGTTCGTCTCGTAAGATCACCTAAGCCCTCAACTCTAGATCTACGGTTGATGATATAAATCCTGCATTACCCACAAGAAGGAATATACCATAATTCCCATAGTTTAGGGTCCTTAAGTAAGGTAATGCAGGATTTATATCATCAACGGTATGACACGTCCTAAAACCTGTAAACAAGTATTCAAGGCGCTTATCGAGGCCTGTAAAAACAGCGAGTACAAAAGCCTCTGACACCGAATGCCATCCTCATAGCATCCTAACCTTGGCCACAATAACTGCGTATATTCATCTTGCTACTTGTCCGTTGACAAAACTATTTATCCAAGTAAATTTACTCAGCCCATATGAATACAACCGGCTTTTCGAGGTCTCTTTTGCTCAAAACCCTAAACCCTAAACCCTAAACCGCTCAAGACCGGAGGTCCCGCAGGACGACAGCCAGCTGGCTCGTCAGGCCCACATCCAACAGGGGCTTCTCCTGCGGGCTGAAGATTTGGGGGTTTGGGGATTGGGAAATAGGGCTTAGAGTTTAGGGTTTAGGGCTTATAGGGCTATAGTACCATTTTTAGGTTCACCGGGGTTTAGGGCTTCGGGCTTAAAGGCTCCAGGTTAGCAAAAAACAGGTCTCCACCTGCCTAAATTTTGTAGAGTCTTGACTTAAGTACGCCAAACAAGCACGAGGACCTTGCCAAGAACATGAACCCTAAGCCGGTAGTCGGAAGCAGGGTCTAATAAGTGCGCCCTAATAATTACCTATACTAGTTTGGGGGCTCCTTACTATAATCATAGTACAATATACCCCAAAACCTATTCTAATTATTAAGGCCCCTACACCCTAAACCCTTGTAGTAGCCCTTATAGAACCCTTTAAGGCACCCTTTAAAGCCGCAGAACCCTATTCTAATTATTAAAGCCCCTACCTGAGAGACTCGACATGGCCAAATCGTGCCAGGGTCACCGGCTCGATATCTTCTTCGAAGCCGACGAGCACCTGCACGCATTGGACCACGAGGCCTGCGGCAGATGCCCTAAATTCTACATTGTAGGATTTAGGGTTTAGGGTTTGGGGTTTAGGGTCTGGGGTACAAGTCACCTAACCCTAAATCTTGCAAAGTCACTAAACCCTAGACCTCAAGCTCTACGCCCTTTTCCCTACACCCCCAAACGCGGCACCCACTTCTGGCCCTAGGCTTTTGGGCTGTCATACCGGGGGTCTATGGTATAAATAACATGGTCTCCTTATCAGTGTAATTTTAAATTAGATTCCTGAGCCAGAACCCAGCATTAGACTGGGAAGTCAAACCTCAACGCCATCCCCTCGCTCGATGAAGTCTTCCGGAACTGCCTATAGTCTATATACCTTGAACTACCATAACCTACTTTTTTTGTAAATCCTTATTATACACCCTAATATCGAAACAATAGGGACCCTACAAAAAAGTAGGTTTCGGTAGTTAAGGTAGTATCCAGTGTAGTTCCTTTGATAGCCGTTGCTTTGATTTCGAGCAAAAAAAACGGCAACTGAGGAACCCAAAAAGGAATTACCCTTGCACATTGGCGGCTATTGGTCAGGCCCATGCCATCCGCAGTCCCTGCACGCCTACAAGCCAAAAACCGCCAGCCTCTGACGAGGTCTGTGTCCAGAGCCTGGCATGGCGCCCAGGCACGATATCGAAGCGCACCCGAAGACCCACAGAACCTAAAACCACTACCTAACATGAAACAATGAAGCCCAGTGTAGGCCCTAAACCCTAAACCCTAAACACCCGAGCCCTGACCACAAAGCAATGCAACACTTCATCGCAGCTGAAACCCTTAAACCTCTGAGCCCAAGAAGAGGGCTAAAGTACCAGAAGAAATCATTAGTGTAGGGGCCTTAATAAAAAGAATAGGGTTTCGGGGTATACTATACTACATTTATCATAACAAACCCCCAAAATAGTATAGGTAAGTCAGGTAAGTATTTAGGCCCCTACATGAAAAGGCTCAAGGCCGCTTTAGACTGCGGTAGAAACCCCCAGGACCTGAACCGAGCCGGAAATCTGAACCTTGAGCCCTAAACCCTAAACCCTAAACCCTAAACCCTGAACCCCAAACCCTAAACCCTAAACCCTAAGCACCTAAAGTCCCCAAGGCCTAAAGTTTAGGCCCTAAGCCCCTGAAGCCTTAACCCTTCACCCAGAAACCCAACGCTGAAGTACACAGCCCCAAAGCCTGGTACCCGGAAGCCCTGCAAAAACTCCAAGCCGTTATAGGCCCCTTTACAACTCCTTCAGAAGGCGACATCGAACCTGTACGCAAGGTCCAAAACGCCCTAAGTCCGCCTGCACCTATGCTTATCATAGGGAGCCTGCTACCAAGACCGTTGAGCCCGAAACCCTACATGAGGAATATAGCGGGGATCCAAACATCGGCCGTAAGCCCGAGAACACAGACCTTGATATGGAAACTGACCGCTAGAACCCTTCTTGACAACCCGCAAAACCTGGCTTAAGTCCGCCTGCATCAGGTCATAATAGGATCCTACACCCTAAATCCTAAACATAAACTCCGAAACCCTCAGCAAGTGAAAATCCGGACCCTGGAACACAACTCCAACGCCCTAATGTAGGGCCTTAATAATTAGAATAGGGCTTATTCCCCTAGCTAGCATCAAGGCCCTAAACCCCGAAACCCTCAACAAAGATCACATCAACAGGGATCCTAATGTGTAGAACCCCTAAAATCCCTGAAATATAAGCCCTGAGCCCCACAACACCATAAACCCCTATAAACCCTAAACCCCCTAAAGCCCCAAATGCCTGCGTCAGGTCCAACTTCGGAAGCTCCGGAAGCTCCTCGCGGGGCCTCGAAGCTTTCTGAGCGCTGGAGGGAGGAGAAGGGGGGAGCGAATTTTTTTTGTTTAGGGCTCTTTGGGTTTTTGAGGTTTTCGAAGTTTTTTGGATTTGGGGTTTGGGCTTTAGGGTTCAGGGCTTCGGGTTGCTAGTAAGGCCTAGGGCCTAGGATTTAGGGGGCTGTAGAGTTGCTGGAAGGCTTCGGGTTCTCGGGTTCAAGGTTTTCCCTGGACCCCCCGACTACCCTCTTTTATACCCTAAGTACCCACTAAAGGGTTCTTGTCTTGGGGGGGGGGGGTGCAGGTAGGGTGTAGCGTAGGCTTACTTTGCTAGTGGGATCCATATTTGGTCGCCTGACTTCCCACACCGCTCCCAAAAGCCACACTTTTCACATCCCCGATACGAAGAATCCAGAAGCCCAAAAAGTTGGCAAGTCCTCCTAAATCCTAAAAGCCAAGCAAGCGAGAGCCAGTCATAAGGGTTCGATGAAGGGTGAAAATCAGTATAAATCAGATTAGAAAAATACAATTAGTGTTCGAAGGGTTTGGTGGCTTTGCGCTCTGTCTTCTCGGCCAAAGTATGGGCGGCTCTCATAGAGCACTGGCTATGGGCTATAAGGGGTTTGGGGCTTGGGGTTTGGGGACTGGGGTTAAGGAGTTTGGGGTTCTGGCCTTGTGGGTTTAGGGAGCTTTATAGCTTTTGGGCTTCGGGGTTAGGGATGCAGGGTTCACGACTTAGGGCGCAAGATTTTGGTGTTTCGAGATCAGCCAAGCATGTACGACTTCATTCCCGGACGTCCCACATTGAAGCACAATCGTGAAAATAGTACTATACAAGTAGAACCCCATCTGTAGGTCAACAGCTTGAAAAACCCTTTGCCCACAAGTGTTCTTGTGATCTTGTTATTCCTGTGCGTCGTCTCAGTCATGGTTTCAAAGTTCAGTGGTGGAGTCTGTTCCTGCTGTTGTGGTGACAGCGGCTGTGATGACTTTGGACCAGATCACGCTGCTGCCGCTGGTGTGATGATCCAGTGGCTGCTGATACTTCATGACTCTCCAGGAGCTGCAAGAGAGACCGAGTCACTGCGGTTTGCTCACACAATCATATACTGTCGGCGGCTATTCGTTACTACTCATCTGGGCGTGTAAACATGTGTTTTGGCGATTGCCCCACAACAGCTAGTGAAACCTAAACCCTAAACCCTAAACCCTAGCAGCTATGACTACGAGTGCTGCTGCGGCTGCTTGTTGTACTTCGCGACGATGCACCGGCTACAACGAATCCGACCAGTGCCATCACAAACCCAAACCTTAAACCCCAAACCCTAACCCCTAATGCCTAAACCCCAAACCCTAAACCCTAAACCCTAATGCCTAAACCCCAAACCCCAAACCCTAAACCCTAAATTCTAAAACCCTGAACCCCAAACCCTAAACCCTAAATTCTAAAACCCTGAACCCCAAACCCTAAACCCTAAATTCTAAAACCCTGAACCCTATACCCTAAACCCTAAATTCTAAAACCCTGAACCCTATACCCTAAACCCTAAATTCTCAAACCCTGAACCCTATACCCTAAATCCTTACAAAGATCTACGAAGATGAGGAGAGGGCCGTCGGTTTGACGGCCTCAGAATCGCAGCTCCAGGATGCTCCCGGGCACTGTGAGGCTTGCGGGTTTTGGGTTTAGGGTTTAGGGTTTAGGGTTTAGGCTTTAGGGTTTAAGGGTCTCCCATTCTCTTCTGGGCTAAAGGAACTTACAGGCGGGGAGTTTAGAGTATGTAGGGCTTCTATAAGGCTAATGTCCTAGACTGGGCTCGTGTTCAGATACTTAATCCAAGTTACCAGCACCGCAATGGGGGTCTATGCAACTCCTGATTGTGGTAACTGACGTGAACTACGTTTCGATTTGGGATGATTTTTAATTTCCTTTATTGGTTGAATATAGAGCCCTAACTATCAATAACTTTGGGGGACCGTTGCAATCGACACCTAGCACAAGGTTGCAAAGGGTTCTTTGAGGGCCACTACCCAGAAAAGTACCCTGAAAGCGTTTAGGGTTTACGGGTTTACGGTTTTCGGGTTTAGGGGTTTAGGGCCCAGGGTTTATAGGGTTCAAGGGTTGAGGGTTTTAGGGTTTGGGTTTGGGGTTTAGGGTAGGTCTCGGGCTTCGGCAGGCTGGAAGACAAACCCGCAAAGCCCACCTGAACCCTCTTGGGTTAACTTGGTTTCCGAGACAAAAAACGATGATGCAGGAACCATAGCAGTTATAGTACGGCTTTGGGGTATATCCAAATGTAAAGACAAAAGAAACTCTAACGGATATCCGTTCACGAAATATGCACACCGCTACACCAACCCCTAAGCAAACCCTGTAAGCCCTACAAAACTCCCTGTAAGCCCGATATAGGGTTTAGGGATTAGTCGATAAAACACCAAGAATTCAAATGAACACCTTCCAAAACCTACAAGCCCCTGTAAAACCCCTATAACCACCATAAAGCACCAAAAAACAAACATTTTAAATCCCCTATGACTCGCCACAGCCGAAGAGCTCCGGTGGCTCCGTGGAGCTTTGGCTCGACTGGGCCTCGCGCACGAGCGCTCGGAGGATTTTGGGGAGGTTGATGAGGGGTTTAGGTTTTAGGGCATTTTAGGGGCTTTAGCGGGGTTTAGGGTTTGGGGGGTTTAACAGGTTTTAGTGTCTATGGGGTTTAACAGGATTTAGGGTCTAGGGGGTGAATATAGGATTGTTGCACACTGCCTGATGTTCCACGGTGGCTTTGGGGAAGTATATCGGGCTTTTCACGGGACGTGATAGTGTTTGACAAGTTTTACGACGCTTGTCTTTCGAGGCTGAAGTTGTGGGGGCTATCGGTGCGTTGTAGGGCTGATTTTTGCGGGTCTATAAGTTGGCCAAGCGCCGGAAGCTCCTGATACCCGGCAGGCCCCCAGCCGCCGAATCCTGGGTAAGTAATATTAATATAGAGAATCATGAAACCCACTATACTATAATTATAATAAGGAACCACCAAAATAGTATGGGTAATTGTTGAGGCCCCTACATTATAAGTCCCTAAACCCTAAACCCTAAGCCCTAAACCCCTACATTATAAGGATCCCCAACTAAAGGTACCCGTAATATTAGGGTCCCCCCAAACCCGAGGCCCCAAAGGCCTCTAAAGCCCAAAGAGCCTTGAGCTCAGCTGGACCGGAACCCATTGACGGTTTAGGGTTTAGGGTTTAGGGTTTAGGGTTTAGGGTTTAGGGTTTAGGGTTTAGGGTTTAGGGTTTAGGCCCGAAACCCTAAACCCTGAACTAGAGCTGTTCCGGGCGGTCTCACCGTGCTTGGCAGCGAGGTCGGCGCGGCAGAGGGCAGCTTTGTCACCTCCCGGCGGGAGAAGTGATGTTTGTTTGCTAGTGGTTTGAAAGCTGTGCTCGGCCTTACGGCTTGGGAAAGATCAAAGGCGCAAAGGCCTCACATAGGGCCATAGGGTTCACAAGTAGCGTCTATGTTCGGTTTCAAGTTCGACGTTCAAGTTTGCGTATTTTGCTCGGTTGCAGACACCGGACTCAACCTAGAGTCGCAGCAGGAAAAGCTGTAGAGACGTGCAACTTTAAGCCAAAACTCATTGTGTTCTCTACATAGCCCTAACCCCTAAACCCTAACACGCATTGTGTTCAAAACCTGGCCTCTCTTGGCAAGGCGAAAACCAGGTTCGCGGCTCCCTGGTTCAAAAATCCACTGACTTTAGGGTTCAGGTCTTGAGTACTTGCGGCTATATATATAGGTACATATCCTAAACCCTAAACCCTGAACCGCTTCTTCAGCCCTAAAGCCTTAAACTGCCTAAACCTCAACATGTTCGATTCAAGGTTCGCCATACAACGGCCCTCATAACATCGCAATCTCTGTAGCAACCTGCAAATCCCACATTCAACCCTAAAGCCCACAGATGCCCCAAGCCCCCGTGCACGGCGCCTCTGCGTGGGGCCTGAGATCTTTGTGGAAGTTGCAACTCGAAGTCTCGAAATTCGTTGTTTTTTGGGGTTTAGGGTTTAGGGTTTAGGGTTTAGAGTTCATGCCTTAATCAGGGTTCAGGGCCTTGGGGCTTAGGGGCCGATGGATGGCTTTCTGGCTTTTGGTTTGCCACTGAAGCTTATCTCTATCTCTCTCGCGCTCTTTAGCGTTTTCGGCTTTGGGGTTTAGGGTTCAGGGTTTCTCCCTTGGCCTCGCTGTCCACTCCGTGGAAGGAACTCCAAGCCACTCCAGCACATAGGTACGCAACACCATGGCCAGACGTAGGATCCCTAAACCCTCAAACCCTGAAAAACCCAAAAATCCAAAACCCTAAACCC